TTATATCCACGAAGTTCTAGAACCCGATATTTTACCCTATCTTGACACCCTGGCAGATCCAACTTTCCAACAAAATAATGCCCGACCACATGTTGCAAGAGTCACAATAGACTTCTTTCAACATAATGATGTCGCATTGTTACCATGGCCACCAAGATCTCCCGACTTATCCCCAATTGAGCACGTGTGGGATATGATGGGTAGGAGATTGCTCAATTTGTAACGTCCTCCTCAGACTCTAGAAGCACTTTGAGAGGAGTTGGTGGTTGCCTGGAATGAGATACCACAGGAGGACATTGACCACCTGATCAGAAGCATGCCTAGGCGCGTTGGAGAATCCGTAGCACATGAGGGTGCATCCACACATTATTAAAGGTCAAAGGGCTTTAAAGCAGTGCAATCATATTGAAATGCTTATCATTTACTTATTATGCTTCATTAAGTACTTATACAAAATTTTATTAAAATAAAACCATTTAAATTGGGTGTTCGGATTTATATGTCACTTAGTATAATTTTCTTGGTATTTCTTTATATACCTTCAGTGATTCTTGCAGTCAGATATTTAGTTGCTGCGTGAACATTTCTTAGATTATATAAGTTGTTCCAGGTTTCAGATTTTAAGTATATTATTAATTTTTCGTAGTCTATATGTTCTTTATCCTTCGCTTTATTAGGGTTAGTATGTACAAAATCTTCAAGGTTGAGGGGTAGAGTTGATACTGTACTGTAGCGCTCAGTAATATCTGATTTTATTACGAAACCTTATAATTATGATTTTCTTGATTACTTCTTAAAAAAATGTGGTCAATACAAGTACATGAGGCGCCAAGCAATAATTAATCATATGCTCAAGCTTGTTAGAAACGTTTTTTGAAAATTGAAGCAACATCTGTGCGGGCCCCAACTCAAAAACTGTAAACTCTGTTTTCCGTAAATAATCCAACAAACAAAGGATGGCATAATGGCTTGGGTGAGTTGAACGAGCTGTTAAATGCAAACAATGAATGTAGGAAGAGGTGGCGCTATTAGGCGTCAAGCGAAATTGGGATTAGTCATCCTATTTAGATACGGCATTGTTCTTGCAATGGTCAAAGCACTATTTGCTTTGATGGAAAAAAGGCGAAAAGTTACATTAATGCAGCAGCAATTATCAAAGCGTAACGCAAGATAAAGATAACAGTTTTCTGGGTGAAGTGAGATGACCTTATAATCGTCTTAGTCATATTTAATAAGCAGAAACTAATATAATGTGACGTCAATTCAAGTACAAAGTCTCGCATGTGTTGCCCCAATCATGGGAATGTCTTATTTATTGGAAGATTTGAAAAAGTTCACTGGAATAGATTAGTAGGAAGTACAGATAAGTCGCATAATTTGTAAACATTTAGACGTAGAAATAATAATGTTCTAGGCAAAACTAAATTTATTCTCATTAAGGAAGCTGGTGAGACAAAGCCTTAACACCTGGATCCCGCAATATTATGATGAAGTTAGACTCATCCAATTGACCAATTTTTGAACTGCATGGAAAAGGTCTCTCTTGATCCCCTTGTTTTAAATGGTACACGCAAGCAGTAATGAATGTCCTGCAAAGTGGAAAAAGTTTTGATAAGCAAATTCAAAGCAAAAAAGTTAACTTATCTACAGAAAATATTGACCTTTTCCCCCAACACCAAATCATCTGAAAGAGAAGCTCATTATTCGTTCTGATTATATGTATAGTCAACGCCAAACAAAGTGGCGTGCACGTCATCACGATAAAAATTCCCCGACCTAATGCCTAGGTTTCTATCACAAACAATTGCTCTATTGCAGTTTCATATTAATGTGATATATAAATTGTAAAATGGTCATTACTCTCTTATTATGGTTAATAGTCATATAAACATTGTTATTAAAATATCACATAAGTTGCTTTCTGATAAATTTAGACGCATTATGCGAAATAAAATGTTTTGCAAACGCTCCAATCACTTATCGACATGTAAACGCACTAAACCGATTTCGCAGCGTTGACACATTGTCACCTTGAAACTTATTTAAACTGGGAACTGACATTTGTATTAATTTTGACACTGAATCAATTTGTGGCATTTCAAATCTTTATAAATCCTTTGGCCCCGCATACTGTAAATCAACAACTGTTTGTTTCAAAACAAAATTATTCATTTTACGAGTAGATAAAGGCAATTTTGGTATATAAAAATGCCCAAACAGTTAAATAGTCGGTATAAGGAACTCGTGGCCTCGTTAATGCACTACTTTGAGCAAGAAAGGGACAACAACGGGCCTTTGTTGCCTTTAAATGCTGTTCAAGAGGTAGGTTACTAATAATTATATGTAATGTATATTAATAATAGTGAAATTTTATTTCATTTTTTGTAGCGTGTTGCTGCTGCTTTAAAAATTAGTTTAAGGACAGTTAGTCGTATTTCCGAGGGTGTGAACAGTGATGCAAATTTAGAATCGCCCAAGAAAAAGCGGAGTTATATTAAACGTGTAACCAACACAGCGACATTGGATACAAGTGCCATTCGAGAAGTGATCTATAATATGTATCACAAAAGTAAGATCTTATTATAATAACTTATCAGAAATTTGCATTAATTTGTTAACTAAATTATAATGTCATATTACACATGGTTTCAGAAGAACAAGTTACGATACAAACTTTATGGTCTCGATTAAGAGATAGGGCATTATTTGATGGTAGTGCCACGTCTTTAAGGCGGTTGCTTAGAGATCTTGGATTTAAGTGGCTTAAGGACAATCCGCGACGAGGGCTCATGGAACTACCAAGTATAGCTTTGAAAAGGGTGGAATTTCTAAGGCAATACAATCAAGCCAAGGTTGAGGCCTTATACCAGTTTGTCTTCCTCGATGAAACTTGGATATTTCAAAATGGGACCATAGGTCGCTCTTGACAAAATGGAAACCAAAAAAGCGTGAAAGCTATTAAAACAGATGGTAAAAGGTATGTACTTTTACACAATTTGCACTATAAAATTTAAAACTAATATATTTTAGATACATTATATTACATGCTGGAAATGAAAATGGGTTTATTGAGGGTAGTGAAGCGATATTTTCTTCGAAAACAAAATTGAGCGATTACCATGGAGAGATGAACCAGGACAATTTTTTTAAATGGTTTCAACATCAGTTATTAGAAAAATTGGAGAGTCCATCTATGATTATACTGGATAACGCCCCTTATCACAGCATGATATTGAACAAAGTGCCCAACAATGCATGGACAAAAAAAAATATCCAAGACTGGTTGACAAATCAAAACATACCATTTTTAAACACAATGTTTAAAACAGAGCTATTGAGTATTGTTGCTCGGTACATAATGCTTCTTAATTATATATATTTTGGTCGACAGTTTATATTTCTTTTGTTTATTCCTATTCTTAAAATAACTGCTTTTTTAGAAACCAACCACCTAAAATATACGTGATTGATGAATTGGCGGAACAACATGGGCACAAAGTTCTTCGTCTGCCTCCTTACCATTGTATATTTCACCCTATTGAGTTAATTTGGGGCATAGCAAAAGGTTACTATAACAGACATATTGGTAGAGATGGTAACAGTGAAAAAGACTGTTTGGATATGTGGAACGAGGCTCTACAAACGGTTACCCCAGACATGTGGAAAAATAGTGTTCGACATACTGAGCAAGAAATTTTTAAATGGTATGAAAGAGAACGAATTTTTGATCGACCAGACATCGAACCTTTAATAATCAACTTTGAGAGTGATGAAGATTCAGATTCAGACAGCGCTGAAGAAAGAAACTCCGACTAACTTTATTGTACAGAAAAAGCTTACACCAGTAGCTTACCTAATTTTAGAATGCATTTTTCTGTATGAATTCTGTAAAATAAATACCATGCATAAAATTTGGAGGACCCCATTTGGATTTTTATTCAGTACCTTTAAGCTATCAATTAAATATGGTAGTTTCATAGTGTCATCTGATCAATAATTGTCATACTTAATGATTATGCAAGTACAGATCTATAATTTTATTATACTATTATTTTTGTTCTCATTTGAGGTTAATATTGCTTATAAACCTAGATATGTAAATAATAAATTTTATTATTTTACAAAAAGTTTGGCAACAATGTAAATTTTTCAACACACCCACCTTGATGACGTGCACGCCACTTTGTTTGGCGTTGACTATACACAAAAACATGCCTAATCACTTTATGCAAAACAAACCCAGCACGTCTCGACGACTTGATAATATTGTGTATTTTGAAAGTTTTCACGTTTTGAAGTATTGCGGAGACTCCAATGATCGATTTAACAATTTATAAAAATAGCATGTGTACATGCTCCTCAATGTAAAAACGCAATTACTGTTATCAATACGATTAAGTCATTATAGGAGTTCGATACCATTCCACGAAGTTAACGAACCTACTTTTGCAGTAAGAATTCATAAATATTTACTGGTATCTAATAGGCAATCACGCTTGCCTTCGCAATTGAATAGATGTTTGCTTCATTTGATTCTTTTGAATATTGCGATACCATATAACGCTACTAGTATGAAAAATATTACTCCTAAGTAGTGCGAAGAGGCACATGAACCATTATGAATAAGTGCACAAACATATTATGTTGAGTAGTCAGCCATATTGATCGACCTATATTTGACAATGTTGATTCTAGGCTTAGACATTAGCGGATACTCGGAATATTGAGACTTAAAGTCAGAGAATGAATGAGATCAGTGCAAGGGATGTGGAAGCTTTGCGTCTGGTTGTTTGTCTTGGAATCGGGCATGGAAACACAATAGTTATGAAAATTGGAGTAGTATATCGACCACCACATTTCAATTATAAATATTTTATCGATGAACTTGAAGAATCTTTATGTGTGGCTATGCTCCGTGAGCCTAGGAGACGTAAATATAAATTTCCTCGACTCTGAGGCTGCACCTACAAATTATATGCTTGAAATGTTAGATTCTACAGGTATACAGCAAATAGTGGAAGAAGCTACTCATATTACTAATACATCGGCGACATTAATAGATGTTATTCTTTGCAACGATCCTTCAATGATCGAATCTAAGCACGTTGGCGGATTAGATTTAACAGATCATGAACTGATTTCGTGTAAGGTACTACAAGATAGACAAAAAATTGAACCACTCTTTTACACTTATCGGAGCTTTAGGAGTCTTGAAATGGATAAATTGCATGCTGATTTGCAAAATCTTCCCTTAATTGACATATGTTACTTGTCAAATATTGACGAAAAGGTGAACTGAACTTGTTCATTCATTTAATTCTAACTTTGTTTGACAAGCATATTCCTTTGAAAACGTCCAAAATTACTAAGCCTAAAGCTCCCTGGCTGAAGGATGATATAAGGAATTTGATGTGTAGTCGGGATGCAGCAAAGTATAGAAAAAATCCGAACAATTCAAATTGGAATGCATATAAAAAACTAAAAAACAAAACCAATCATGCTACTCTACATGAAAAAAGAAAGTATTTTGATAAAATTGCTCAGAGTAAGGATAATAAATCTTTGTGGCGAGAACTTAATTCGCTTAGTATTAAGTCACAGACGTCAAATATTCCTATTGATTTGCAAGATGTGGAACATATAAATAACTTTTTTATTGACAGCATACCTCGTGTGGCGTCTGGTAATCATATTGCCATACATAATTTTGACGATTTGTTATCTTTTTTTACTCCGTTGTATGAAAATATTATTTTCTTGGGTGATGTAAATATTGATCTGTTCAATCATGAGAACCTTCTAAATAGATGTTTTGATTCATATAATTATGCTCAGATTATTACCGAGCCCACTAGAATTACGCAGTTCAGTTCCACATTGATAGATCCCATTTTTGTGAATGATGTAAATATTATTTTAAACTCTGGGACATTAGCAGCAGATCAAATATCTGATCACAGATTAGTTTTTTGTGAATTAGCAATGCCTGCTCCTAGAAATGCACCAAAATTTATTGAATATAGGGACCTGAAAAATATTGATATGGTCTTGTTCAAAGCACACTGAAAGTTTAATTGCTCTTTTCGATACACATGCACCTATTCGTAAAGCGCGTATAACGAAAAATGCATCGCCTTGGTTAACCCAAACCTTGAAACGTATTTTCAAGGAAAGAGATGAAGCTTTACTCAAATTTCGACATGATTCAACTGAAGAAAATTGGATCAACTACAGAATTTTGCGTAATCACGCACCTACTGCACTTAAAAGAGAGAAAAAAGCATATTTAGCTCATTTCGAAAAGTCAAACCCTAAAAAATTTTGGAACCACTTAAGAAATTTTGGAGCTTACCAAAAAAAATAAGGCAGAAATTCCCCCACACTTGCTCAATCCTGACGAAGTTAACAATTATTTTTTATCAAATTTTATATCCCATAATGTTAATTCCCGTCTTATAAATCGTACGGTAGATGAATATATTTCAAGTTCTTTTAATTCAGACATTCCGCTCTTTCACTTTCATTTAGTTACCCCAGAAGATGTTTTAGATATTATAATTTCCATCAAATCTCAAGCAACTGGTTGTGATGGAATTAACATAGGAATGATCAATTTGTGTATTCCTGAAGTGTTACCTCATCTAACACATATCGTCAATTTTTGTTTAGAAAAAGGAGTATTTCCAAGTTTGTGGAAAGAGGCTGTTATAACTCCTCTGGCTAAGAATAATAATCCTAGAGAATATTCGGATTTGAGACCCATTAGTATATTGTGTGCCTTGTCAAAGATATTGGAAAAAATTGTTTATATGCAATTGGTAAAATATTTTGAAGAGTACAACATGTTTCCAAATTGTCAGTCTGGTTTCCGTAGTGGTCACAGCACAACATCTGCATTATTACACGTAACTGATGAGATTATCTCTAACTTAGACAATCATATTTACACTGTGCTGGTGTTGTTAGATTTCTCAAAGGCATTTGATACGGTTAACCACGAAATGCTTCTATCCAAATTAAAATACTACGGACTATCTGACGTTCCTCTTTGCTTCTTTAAATCATACTTAAATAATCGCGAGCAACGAATAAGAACAAGCCAAGGAGTTTCTCTTAGTACCGATGTTGCTTCTGGTGTTCCTCAGGGTTCCGTGCTTGGTCCTTTACTATATTTAGTTTATACTTTTGACTTGCATACTGTATTACAGTTTTGTAGTATTCATACTTACGCAGACGATACACAATTGACCTTCACTTTTGACTCTACTAATGTGGATCAAGCTTCGTATAAAATAAATTTAGATCTGGTAAATATAACTGACTATTGCAAGGCTAACTGTTTGAAGCTCAATCCTACCAAGAGTTTTGCGGTGTTGTTCTGTCCCAAAACCAGCTATCAGCATTTTGAAAGGATGACTGATTTGAGGGTAAATAATGACCATATTCCACTCGTCACGCATGCAAAAAGTCTAGGTGTTACTTTAGACGTAAATCTTAGATTTCATCACAACGTCAGTAATATATCTAAAGCTACATATGCAAGCCTAAGACTCCTATACTCCAATCGTTCTATTCTCAATTTCAAGACTAGAAAGAAATTGGTGGAAAGTTTAGTTATGTCTAAGCTGCTTTACTGTTTTATACTGTTTTATCCTTGTCTTGACTCCATAACAAAAACCAGATTGCAGAAAATTCAAAATTGTTGTTGTCGTTTTGTTTTCGGCCTTCGTAGGTATAGCCATGTTACATCCAAGATCTGTGAGCTGGGGTGGCTGAAGCTCAATAATCTTTTCAAGTTTCATATGTTGGTTTTTGTACATAAAACAATCGTTACCAAGAGACCTATTTACCTTGCAAATAAGTTAGTTCCGCATAGGAATTTAATTTCAAGAAGGTTACGTCATGATGAACAGTTCAATATTCCTCTTCACTACACCTCATTATATCAGAGATCTTTCACGTATAATGCTGTTGAGCTTTACAATTCAGTCAGTGCGGCTAACAAACAAGACAGTTTACTCTCTTTTAAGAAATCAGTTGGAAAACAGCTATTGGAGATGCAATCGTCTCTCAGTGTTTGAAATGTTGGTTTGTTTTATTTTTATGACACTTTATTATTATTATTATATTAATAGTTCAAGTGTGCATTTGTTTCTTTTTCTTATTATTACTATTGTTTGTTTGTGTATCGAGTTTAACTGTGTTACTCTTTCGTACACAGTGAGGTTAAGTGTAAGAGTAGCCATTTGGCTAAACTTCGCCTCACTGATGTATGCTGATTAATAAAGACATTTATTATTATTATTATTATTATTATATTATGATCAAAACAAAATAAGTAATTTAGAGTTCAGTTCCAAATTGGTATCTGAGCAAGACGTATTTGACGCATTAAGTAGGATAAAAAACACCAGACCAGGAAATGATGGTATTAGCATACATCTCGTCAAATTGTGTCCCGTATATTTTACCATATTTGGTACATCTTATTAATTCAATTTTTCTTGAGGGAAAATATCCAAAGTGCTGGAAAGTGGCCTTAATAGTGCCAATTCCAAAATGTAAGGAAGCTGAACAGCTATCAGATCTTCGTCCAATAAGTATTCTAGCTGGTCTCTCAAAATTGGTTGAAAAAATTATTGAAATACAATTAAGAACACATATTGAAAGTCAAAGTATCCTTCCTAAAACACAGTCAGGTTTTCGTCCAGGATACAGTTGCACCACTGCACTTGCTAAAATAACTGATGATATCATTCAGTCGAATGATCTGGGTGAGTGTACCGCTTTAATACTATTAGATTTCAGCAAGGCATTCGACACAACTAACCATGATGTCTTGCTGTCTGTTTTAAGGTCATGTGGATTGTCTACTGACAGCGTAAAACTTTTTAATTCATACTTAAGTGGCAGATCACAGTGTGTACAACTGAAGAATGAAATATCTAGTTCAAAGCCCACCACCACAGGTGTACCGCAAGGATCTATACTTGCACCATTGCTCTTCACTAAATATACCAGTCGGATCCTTAAATGTTTGGAATTCTGTAAGTCACACGTTTATGCGGATGATACCCAGCTGTACTATTCTTTTCCTAGTTCAGATTGGCCAGCTGCCGAGTTGAAAATAAACAGTGACTTGACTAACCTCGCTAAAAGATTGCAAGAGCATTCATTAATATTAAATCCAAATAAATCAGCTGCTGCGATCTTTGGTAAAGACCGTTCTTATGTGATTGAGAATTTATTTAAATAATATTAGATTAAAATACTGTGATAAAGTTAAAAACTTAGGCTTAACAATAGATTATCATCTGAGGTTTCGTGAGCACATATCAAACTGTATCAAAAAATCTTATCTGGCTCTAAAATTATTGTATCCTCACCGAAATTTTCTCAATTTAGACATCAAAAGAATTCTTTGCGAAATCTTGGTTTTATCATTATATATATAATAGTAGTAGTAGTAAACAAGCAAACGATCTCGTCCTACCTTGTCAAGAATTTGGTTGGTACACAGTCCATGAAATAACCTTTTGGCGAAGAGTTTCCATTTATAAGGATAAAGTACGGGTCTGGATACATTAGTGCAGCGGATTTTACAGTTTTCAGTCGTTTTCAGCCATATTTATATAACCTCGGAGTGACGTAAAATTGACAAGTTGACAGTTTGTTCTTCCTGATCCATACTACATAAGAAATTACGATACAGAGTGCCATGACCCGCAAAAAGAAGAAGGAAGAAGAAGAACAACAAGAAAAGCCCGAGAATGAAAAAAACTGCATCACAGATGAAGAAAATCGACCTGATTCGACTAATGTAAAAAAAATATTAGAAGAGAATCGATCCCTGAAAAAAACACTAGCAGAAAAGGAGGAAATAATTCGTCAGCTCAATAACGAAAATTTAAAACTAAAAGAGCAGCAACTGTCAATAACCGCAAGTATTACTGAGAAGGATGCCATAGCATCAGCACTAAATAGAATTAATATGAGACTCGACGAAGTTGAGAAAAACCAATTAGTAGAAGAAAATTCATACGCACAAATCTTAAAACAAACGACACCTATTACTAAAAGGCAATCACTGAAATGCATCACAGTTATTCCAAAAGAAAAACAATCTTGCGATAATACGAGAAGAGAATTGAGTAAGAGAATGAATCTTTCATCTCTGAACATTCAAATAGAAAGTGTGAGAAACTCAAAAAATGGCGGAATTGATATAAAAATTGATGAATCAAACCATAATAAACTGAAAGATGAACTTCAAAGTAAATTGAATGAAAAATACCAAGTTACTGAGTCGAAAATGTTAAATCCAAAAATTAAAATATTAAATTATAAAAGTAGTGAGAAACCGAATGAAAAGCAAATTGAAGAAGATCTTATACATCAGAATTATATGAGTGGAGACATACAAGTAAAGTTTATCAAATATTTTCCATCAAGAAACAATTACACTATCTACGCGGAAACTTCTGGAAAGCTATTCAAAAAAATCTTCGAAGACAATAATAGAAGAATACTTCTGGGATGGCAATGTTTGACAGTATATCAAAATAACGACATTTCTCAGTGTAGAAAATGCTACCGTTTTAATCATACAGAAAAGAATTGCAGGAATGAGAAGATATGTGCCAACTATGGCAACGGTCACGAAGAAGAAAATTGTAAGCATGTATCAATAGAATGCTGCAACTGTAGATATGGAAATGAAAGATATAAAAAAAATTATAATATTAACCACTCACCTACCGACAAAAACTGTCCATCGTACAAATATTATCAGGAACACCAAACTTAAGGATACTTTTTTAAAATTCAAGTTCATCTTTTACTACTCCTATCTCTAAAGATGACCTAAAAATGTCAGTAAATAAATACATTAATGATTTCCAAATTCCAAGTATTGTAACAAATATAGCACAAAACGTCGATGAACTTAATTTATGTACACAAAATTCTGATGCAAAATTTCGAATTTTTAATATGAACATAGGGAGTATAAAACACAACATTGATTACTTAAAAATACTACTCGACCAAATATGGTACAATTTTGATCTAATAGTTTTAACTGAAACGTGGCAAGTGGCTGATATTTCTTGCTTCAATCAGCAGGGATATGACACGCTGTATAACTTTGGCACTTATAACCAAAACGATGGGGTGATAGTTTTTGTAAGAAATAAACTGCAATATAATCATGATACATTCACTTTCACCGATAGAATCAAAATTTTAAACATAATGATCCAAATTAACCATAACAAAATTTAGGTATCTGCAATTTATCGTCCGCCATGTTCAGAACCCCACGAGTTTTTAGAGGATATCGAATTTTTTTTCAAAATCAAAATAAAGTTCATTTAAAGCAACATATTTAGTGCGTGATTCTTACCTTGAATGTATAAAGTAGAATTATTCTTACTGCGGAATTTCAATTTTATTTTGTTTGCATTCCATTATTTTGTTTATATTTTTTTTCATATGATGCATAAATGTACGTATATGTATTTGTATATCATTCTAGACTTTTACATTTACCACCACGTTTTCAATTTGCTGTTTTTTTTCAAACTTTAATTGTCGCTCATATTGGCGTTTGTTTATGCGATATGTATGGGTATATCTATATATTATTCTAGACTTTCTTTTTTTTTAATTTATTACCACATGTCTCACTTTTCTATTTTATTTTTTTTTAAACTTACATGCTGTTCATATTGATGTTTTTATATGCTTGATGGATGTATTTACTGGCATAATGTTTCTTACAATTTCAAGGGATGAGTGGAAGAGCACTAGATAGTGAACTCCCCCATGTGATTTTCAGACAGCGGACATTTGTTTTATTTATTTTTTTATATTTTCCTTTTTTTTGGTTAATACTCATGTTTCTCTTTCAGATTTTTTTTGAGAAATGTTTGGAAATAAAGGCATTTATTATTATAGACTGCAGACAGTCTGGCAGAACAGATTCATGTTGTATGTGATAGCAAGGAAGAGTCAGTCACTCTTCGGGACTAGACTAGCACACATGAAGTTTGGTATAATATTGACATTGAAACTATCCACAACAGTAAATAATTCATGACTGACAGGTAGAGTCCTGTGATCTTCGAGGGGTATTGAAAGAGGAGATTTGACTGGTGGAGATCGAACCCACAATCTACTATGTCATATAGCATATTTGAAACTTGCTTGGCAGCTCAACTATTAGTTAGCTTCACAGTAATGAATTGCCCCCCCTTTTCTACATTTGAGGAAAACAATATATGTTAGATTGTTGCCATATTCAAATTGATGTTTAGCATGATTACAGCGTCTTCATTCATATTACATGCATGCTTATGCTCAGATGACTACTAAATGAATGCATTCATTGGAAGATACGAATATAGGCCACGTTTTGAATCACAAATCTGTAAGTATATTTAACAAAAATATGAATTAATGCTTCCTACACGCTGTTAGAATAAAGCAGCAAGTGGGAGGCATGTAAAAAGTCATGAACATTAGCAGTTATACATATTGTATTCATTATGTACGTAACATAACAGAACTTGTAATATTATTCAGAGTGACTAACTTCTTATTAATATGCTTGAAGTGTGCAGTGATAAGAAAGGCTCTTTCGATAATCAGGCACGCTCGGAGGCTATGTCTGAATATGGGTGTAATGTCGCCTGCTATAAGAAACGGCGCCAAGAAGGTTGACTCTACATTGTGTCACAACAGACTGACGGAAAATTGAGTGAAATCTACTCACGTAAAATATGACAAGATTCTTGAGTCGATAAGCTCCTACATCATTGAAAAATGTGTATTCTGGTACAAACATTTCTATTTTTCCAACATATGGGATTTTTAAGTATGAATATGTATCCCAAAAGTACTCAAATATCGATTGATGTATAACCTGTATAATTTGCATCCGCTAACAAATAATATACGTTTTGTGGAACAAGAGATTCCGAACTATTATTATTCTATGCTTAGTTTCAGGTTCATTTTTCTATTCAGCATCCGCAATTCGTAGGCAAATTGCAGTAAATTACATTACGTAACGAACGCCAAAACAAGTACGTCGAAATACGGGTCATATTTGTTATTTTAGATGCTTATCGCATACATATACATACACCCATTGTTTATTTTTCGGTAGCCTATTATATTAAAATATTGTGTTAGTTTGTAACTTGCTAATACGCTTTTATCTTGATATATATCCTGTCCAATCAGTATGCAAGAATTATTTTCGCATTACAAGACTGAATAATAGTGCTAATAAAATTTTATTCACTGCCAGATCATAGGGGAGAGCAAATTTTTCGAATGATCACTTTTTTATATCGAAATCTTTTGGTAATTATAGTTGACTAATATTTGTAACATATCTTTGCGAGTTGTACGAGATGTAAGTTAGTTTTCTTCTATTAATAAAATATACTACAACTACGCATTTTGACATATTTGGGATCCCGAATCTGTAAACGGAATGTAGATGCAACGCTGTGGAGTCTAAGTACATGCTTAGTGGCTTTTTCCACAACTTTAAAATCAGTCCGCCAGATGCTAAGGAGTTTCTTTCGGTGAGAACGCAAAAACAACGCAACCGAAGTCGAAATCGAGATGAAGGCAGATTACCATCGAGTTGCTTTTGATAAGAGCAGTGCTTAGAGTACTAATCAAAGGATTTTTTATTTCGAAACATACACATGCTTATAATTCATACTTATGCTTTTTTGGTATAAAATTATTCTAAAAGAATCATTTTGCTAACGGCAGATCATCACAATTATCCATTTATCATTTTTTTTTTAGCTACGACTGATACTAAACTTCATGGCTGACATTTCTCAATTTTTATGTTACCATCTCAACAGTTTAAATCTTGCTCCACGGAAGAATGTCTATGCTCTTAAAAACGGGGTCCATTTCACAAGCCGTATTTCAGATGACCTTGGTTCAGCGTTATTCATCTCGGTGCGATGTCGCTATGGGTTTTGTGACGTATCTTTAGGTAGAATGTAACGTATTTGGGTCTATTTGTGTAGGTGACTTCAGAAGACGTAAATAGGAACAATAACATGTGACGCCTTCGCTGTTCATAAGATTTTTATTGGAGTTTCGTCACAGACGTGGTACTGGATGTAGACAGTGCAGTGGTGTGGCAAGATATTCCCTCTTATTAAACTCCTAACGTTCCTTGATTGTGTTCTGATTTATACCGTTTTTCAAGATTACAATGAAATAGATACAGTTCTAGTAATTTTTGTGAAAAATAGTTATAAGCCGAGGATACTGAGCAAGAATAAACATTAATCACACCTAAACAAACTTTGGAAAATAACTGATTTTCACGACCTTCTGAATCTACCAAAAACTTAAGTATTTCAAGGTATCACTCAAATATAAATGAAAGTATCGCTTTATCAGTTTTGTTACTAAATATCTAAAATCATCATACAGTCAGATTTGTAAACACCTCCAAAATAAAACAAATTCAAAACGAGAAGGTGATTTCTTTAAAACTGTTAAAGCCTCAATATTCTCGAACTTTATTATGATACATGTTTAAAACATTCCTATTTTGTTTCTCATAAAAGCTTAAATAGTATCAGAAACTGACAAGTCTCTCACAAAATCCCATGTAAAGAGTGCTAACTCATCAGGGATAAAACGGTGAGATTCATCTAAATTATGTGTAATTACAAAGCCTTGAACATACAGAATCTTCAAGCTTACTTCAAAATTGTGAGCTAATGCAGGTATTCCCTAATCAAATGGCACTCTTAGTCATACTTCACTTCGCTAGCAGGAGTAGTCTCAAGGCCTAGTAAGAGTAAATGCTCAAAAGAGCCCAGCGCTTGTCCTGTGCACCGGTGTTTTCAAATAATAATTCTAGGAACCTATTAAACATATTTTATACACCACAGATTTCACTGTACATTTACCCTAAAGACTTATGAACTATACTAAGTGACATATAAATCCGAACACCCAGTTTAAATGGTTTTATTTTAATAAAATTTTGTATAAGTACTTAATGAAGCATAATAAGTAAATGATAAAAATTTCAAAATGATTGCACTGCTTTAAAGCCCTTTGACCTTTAATAATGTGTGGATGCACCCTGATGTGCTACGCATTCTCCAACGCGCCTAGGCATGCTTCTGATCAGGTGGTCAATGTCCTCCTGTGGTATCTCATTCCAGGCAACCAGCAACTCCTCCCGAAGTGCTTCTAGAGTCTGAGGAGGACGTTGCAAATTGAGCAATCTCCTACCCATCATATCCTACACGTGCTCAATTGGGGATAAGTCGGGAGATCTTGGTGGCCATGGTAACAATGTGACATCATTATGTTGAAAGAAGTCTATTGTGACTCTTGCAACATGTGGTCGGGCATTATCTTGTTGGAAAGTTGGATCTGCCAGGGTGTCAAGATAGGATAAAAGATGGGGTTCTAGAACTTCGTGGATATAACGCTGCGCCTTCATGTTACCTCTGATGAAGATTGAAGGTGACCTGGAACCATAAGCTATAGCACCCCAAACCATAACTCCAACAGTGTGATGAACATTTCTTTCAACAAAAAACTGTGGATTCCTCATTTCACCACGTCGCCTTCTAACACTGGCACGACCATGGTGCATGCCTAAACAAAATCGAAACTCGTCACTAAAGACAATACTGTTCCATTCCTGATCCCAGAGTGACCGTTGTCTGCACCACTCAAGGCGATTACGTCGGTGTTCTCGAGTTAAAGGGAGGACCCAGTGTGGCCGGTATGAAAACAAGCCAAAACTTCTCATTCGTCGGTAAACACTTCGCATGCCAATAGGTCTTCCGTGTTCTGCAAACCATTCAAACCATTCATTTGCAATGGACCTGGTAGTGGAGAAACGGTCCCTTAAGGCCAATAATCTTAGGCGGCGATCTTCACGGTCTGTTGTTCTACGGCGGCGTCCAGTGCCCCTTGCTCTTTGCGTACGGCCTTCTCGAAGCCATGCCTGACAACACCTAACCACAGTGTCTACACTTCTTTGCACTCTAACTGCAATTGCCCGAAACGAAAGTCCAGCTTCCCGAAGTCCCACTATACGGCCCCTATCAAACTCACTAAGTTGACGAAATCGTACAGGTCTCCGTACTCTAGGCATTGTAACCGATCGTAAAGGATGTCAACAACCAAAATCCGCCAACGTTGATTCTTTACTGTGGCTGAAATATTCATTTTTAGAGCGTTAGTGATTTAAAAAAAAGCAGTATAAAAACCGAAATGTCCAACTGATAAGGCTGAAAAATTTTTCACTTGTTATTTACAGTAAGATAAATATATTCACCAACTTTTATTAAAATAAAACCGTTTAATCTGGGTGTTCGGATTTATATGTCACTTAGTATATTTTCAGTAGACTATGATCGCCTATCGGCCGCATGTGCCGTGCGCTACGGGTTTATTTATAAATATTGCATCTTTGGTACTCGCTCCGCGTAAGCAACCAACAAACATTCCCCTAAATACCAAACAAGAAAATTATAAATGCCCTGCGTCTAACGGCTCGGCTTCGTGATTGAATAAATAAGGATTCTTCGGCGATTTCCGATCATTCTTGTCCTTTCTTTGGGTGTTTCCTTAATCGATATTTTCAATCAACGCTGTCCTATACACCTAATTAATGATTCGAAGGCTTCATTTAAACGAAAGGTTGGTTCATTCATTGGAATACAAACCGTAATTACTGTAATTCAGTAGAAAGTTCAATGTTCTTCATTATAAATTGTTTATTATGATGGGAAAGATATAGCGTTCGAGCTGAATTCGCTCCAGATACCGTGCCAATTCAGTGCTCAATAACCTTTGCCGGTCCAAAAATAGGTATGGCTAGGCAATTTGATGCTATTAGAGATAGCCTGGGATCTCTACATATGATAGTAAGTCATATAAGAAGGCATGAATACTTAGCAGGACGCTACCCACCGTGACGAAATGTCTTAGAGTATGACGTAATTCTGGAGAATCTTACGCTTTATGTAGAAAAAAAGTAACACTATCAACCGAGTTTTCATTTACAGAAAAGGGTTCTCAGATTGATCTTTAACATTAGCAAGAGAGTCTCATGTAAGCGTGTCTTTATGAAAAAATAATCTGCTAACATCAATTTACATGACAGGCGTTTTTTCTTTTAGTCAGTGGTTTTCGATAAAGCCGTGGTGGGAAGTTTTCCAATGAACACACTGTATATAAATGCGCTCTCTTCGCACTTAAACAGAGAAGCAGATTTATCTGACTTCCTCAGAAACACTAACATGTTTATATTGAAGAAACGTCTAAAAAGATTTCTGTCTTAAAAATGCAACTCCTCCCTTGTCGAATACATTATTACTTGACTATCCAGTATCATTATTGTTAATATTATTATTTTAGCAGGTACTTTTTTCTATGTGTTAAATTATCTAATCTATCTAATTACTGTAAATGTCCTTGAAATGTTTGTTATATGTCCAATATTATTTTTTCATTGTATCTGTAAAAATTCGTCATTCTCGACCCTGTGATATTTGTACAACTGATCGTATCCTGCAATTTATTTATTTATGTAACGCATAAGATTTGCAAGTTTTATTTCATAATTTTCTATGGCCAATAATACAATAAAGAGATGTCTAAAAAGAATAACAAGCATTAAAACTTTCCATGGTTTCTTTATGTTTTTGAGCACTATTTACCGAGAAAATCAGTTTTCAAAGCTTGACAGGTCCGTCTAGCAGACACATTGAGGAGGGTCAAACCATGTTGGCATATCGTGGAATGCATCGAGATCACCAATCACGCACTCACGTTCGCGAAGATTTCCTTCTCCGGTAGAAAAAGCGATTAATCGCGGTGATTGAAATTTACAGAAACACCTTTCTAAGAGCGGGTGTCTTTTTGGTGACAAATTGACAATCAAAAATGGAAGGGCTTCCCAATTGAGGCACAGTGCATGTGGCTTATAGGTATTAACATTCACCAAATTACTGCTCGCCAGATAGTAATAACACAAGGGTTTTCGTCAGAGAGGCAATCCCTATCAGTCTTCTTATTTTCAGCTCAATTGCGGCCATCCACTCTGAATATTCGCTCATAAAGTGCTATCATAGGTGAGATTCCTTGAATTATCACAAACTCAAATCAGTGTAAAGCAGACTATTGTTCGTATTTCTGTGTAAGCATACGACGAAGTATTTCAAAATGATTTTGCAATCAAGTTTAACCCGAATTCTTTCTAGAAGGTCAACAAGTCTGGTTAATGACACTCAACACGGCCGCCCTTAGACCTGTGCGAAGAGGTACCTATTCCTACTCTGGGCACCTCTTCCCTGAGTACTGCATATATTTCTAACCATAATACCTTTATATTCATGATCTTAAGCCATGTTTATAAAGATGCTGTGCTTTTTATCTTCATATTTTAATGTATGGCTTACGAGGTTACTATTTATTGTTACTAAATATCCGCAGGTGGGACTCCTCCAATTTCCGGGGGTTGTTATGGAACTTTTAGAGCCAGCTTGCCACGTTCAAGTGATTGTTAATCACTGCTCGGTTTCCTCTGTCAGGAGAAATATCAGAGTGCTTGGGATATTGACACGGTGGCTTCTGGCCAACGTGACATCTTAGGTTTGAATGACCGCTTAACTACCTTATCTTGGCAAAAGGCTGGAGCTTGAAAGGATCGCATGGCAACATGTGAATAGGGATTGATAGTTTAAGGTTCAATTTCACCAACATTAATATTTGACGGTCAGTTGGACCAATAGGAAAAGACATTATCGAAATGCAATTCGACGGAAGCTGTCAAAGGTCTCTGAATATCAGTGATATGAAGACTACATAAAATTAACTTTAAGCTTTATTTTTGGTTTCAGCTCTTTTTCGGCAAGAAGAGAAATATTTAAATTATTTTGAAAAATCATGGACAATGATGTTATCGGTAAGTAAAAATACCGAAAAATCCGGTTCAAGTCCATGCATAGACAATCTGAAATTTGAATTTATGAATTTATATTCTAAATTCTATGCGTATTCGTTAATATTTCATTTGAAGCGTTTTTTTTGTCATAAGATTTTAGCAAAATGTAAGATAGTAAAGGCAACACCGCACCCTGCAGCCCAGTTGACAAGAACCACAAGCTGTCAAGATCAGGGATGTTTCGATCCACGAAAAGTATCGATATGTATCGATTCTTATCGTTTTAGAAAGTATCGATACGCTAAAATATTGTAATAAAATTATCGATATCCAGCGGAAGGAAACAAAGAAGAAAAGTAATCTGATGTTAGTCACTATTTCTGACACAGTCCGGATCGAAAGATGATGATACTCGTGAAATGTATCGATACACCCAAGTGTTGTATGTAAAAATATCGATCCAAAATATCGGGTATGGGAAGCAAAAGTATCGATACTTCTAAATATAGGATCGTATCGAACATTCCTTCTGTCAAGATGTATAACCCGAGGTACCGATGGAGCTATTTTGGGGCGTCATGGAAATAATTTTAAATTTTCATTTGCATTTTTTCAAATATTGTGCAACGATTTTGGGAAAAATTCCACGTATAGTCTTATAAAGCATAGTCGAGTATATTTCAACAGTTGGTGGAGCTTACTCCACTGGGACCAAGGGTTGACGGATCCCACACATGTGACACTCGTTGGGGAGTTTTGAAATGTAATAATAAGCTGTTATTCAAATAATGTCTAATATAAATATAACCTAGAATGTGTAATCAGCGAACCAAGAAAGTTATTGCAAATTCTATTTTTTTGCCGGTTTTTAGTTTGCCGGTAGCTTTACAACATATATTTGAGTATTTCTTAAGCGCTGTAAATATAGTGTTTATGTTTATTCAGTTCCTGAACAACCAAAAACTTTTTCACCTTATGAATGTATGGATATAAAAAATCCTGAATGGTTTTGTGGGAATATCCATCGACGGTGCTATAATGGTACTGATGAACGGGGCAAGTAAATGAATGAATGTTTGGAAACGAGCAATATCTATGAAATTTTTCGTAGACCCTGTCATCAAGTAGGCGCTTAATAAATATCTGCAAGAGGTTTATAGAATCAGGGGTAACGTCTGAGCTTTTAGGTATTGACATGGCAAACTAGTTTCTGGACTGCTTTTCCTAATAATCGTTAAACTCAATGATCTGTTGGGATACCTAGTGACCAAATGGTCTGTGTGTGACGATCCTATGATTCAGTCTGAGTGTCGAATCCGTAGTCTGGGTATACTAATGTAATGGTTACATGTAGATTCGTGCAAGTCATGTCATGAGTTAGTTCAATATGGGAGGTACTCAAATCATTTTTCTGAAAATAGGTGTGACAATCAAGTTCTATCGCCCTTATCGCTTGTCTAAGGAGGACAACTCGATGTTGTTACGCCACCAAGTAAGTGAAATTTACATTGCCTTGACAATGAAGCCTAAGTTGAGTCGTTTACGTACTGCTCTCATAATAAAAGTGAAACGGTATCAGGTGATACTTCGCAACCTGCTAAGACGGGTTTGTTGTTTTCAAGTTTATCGTCTTAACATCCTGTTACATCTGTGTAAATTAGTATTCATGTCCATTAACGTAAGCAACTGCTTTAATTGAGCAGCCGTAAAACACTTTCCGCAAAACGTCTGCACCTGGTGTAAAAACGTCAAGAAGCAATGCCATCCTGATAGCGTAGAAACATTTCTAGCGAATTACACGCTATTATTTCGCAATGTCGTGCAGCAATTATCGGATTGCTTGTTATCTTGATCTTCAGCTGATGTAAACAACTATATTTGGCTCTTTTCCATCAGCTAGTATGCGCCTAACGTTGAGAGGAAGTACGTGGAGAAAATTCAGATCTACTAGGAGTACGTATACACTACCAACCAGCAAATTCTTTAGCAAAGTTCAAGGAAACTCGATAACTCTCATCTATCAGTTTGTCGTTGAGATTGGCGAGAGGCCCTAAAGCTTCCACTTTCCTGCTTTAAGCAGGACCTCGCAACACTTTAGCGGATTTTCAAAACCATATTCGGAACCAGCGTCCCAGAGTTGACGATAATTGAAATCTTGTTAATGAAACTCCTGCAGATTGTTCTGTGATTTGGTTTGTAAATTAAGTGATGAGACTGAGAGTTTTTAATTTTTTTATTCAAATATCCTCCTGGGACCCAGCGTCCATTTAAATGGACATGCAGTTTTATACTTCCAGTTTCGTTAATTTAATATTTACGCAGCGTAGACCTCGCATCCACTACGTTGGACACTTCCGTGCTGCCGCCTAGTCCGATTCGGCCGACTTTAGTCTCGCACCTGCGCCGTGAATCAGTAAGTTTGTTTTCTGTTGTGATGGCGGCTGCACGTGATTCTCGTTTAGATGGTATGTAACCTATTTTTTAACATTATGTGCTGATTTAGGAGGAAATATATATTCGTTAATGTTTAATAGATACATTTAAACAGCTTTATAATAATAAAAATTTTAAATAACTTTTGTACTAGCCTAAATTATTTGCGTCCATTTAAATGGACATTGGGTCTATCTCATGAATATTTTTGATTTATTCGGAAAATTTATTTTAGCAATTTTTGGCAATAAACGAGTGCTTCGGCCAGGGGAAGATGACGAAAAATTGGAGCAAATACTACAACTCATTGCAAACGATGATTCTGACGTTGAAATGTCTGATGATGAAAATGAAATTGAAAATATGGATAATTTAGTACCGAGAGAGGACGAAATAAATGATGAAGACCTGGTGAGCAGCAGTGACGAGGAAGGAGAGGACAGAATTCCTCTTAGTGTCCTTAGAGAAAAGTTAAGAACGGCCAAACAAACTCCCAATTCTTCGCAGCGACAGTTTTGGAGAAGGAATGATACTTTTACACCTCCAAATTTTGAAGGTCCGTCTAGTGAATGCAGCGCACAGCTTCGCGATGGTTGGACTGCAAAATCGTATTTTGCCATGTACTTAGAAGATGACATGTTCCAAAAAGTATGTGATTGCACAAATGCAAGGTATGTTGAACTTAAAGGAGTATCCCTTAGATTGACACTTAATGAGATTAAACATTTCTTTGGGATAATTTGTTTAATGTTCTGCCTAAAATATCCTAGAATCAGAATGTACTGGGCCAAACCCACGAGGGTTGCAGCTATTGCGGATATTATGACTCGAGATAGGTTTTTTTCTATAAGAAGTAACCTCAAAGTCGTAATTGATGGCAGCATCTCTGAGGAGAAACGCAGGTATGACAAATTTTGGAAAGTGCGTCCTATTTTAGAAGCAGTATTGCAGGGGTGCTTGCAGCTACCCAGAGAGAAAGTAGTTGCTGTGGATGAGCAGATGATACCATTCACTGGAACTTGTCAAATGAAGCAGTTTGTTAGGGGAAAACCCAATCCAGAGGGATTGAAAAATTTTGTTGTTGCTGCTCCTGATGGTCTTGTCGTAGACTTTGAACTATATCAAGGAAAAAATACGTTTCCAGATGATTCTGTAAAACGACTTGGTGTTGGACCTTCTGCTGTTGTTCGGCTTGGAAGAACATTATTTCCTGGAACTCATGTGTATTGCGATAGATATTTTACGACAATACCACTTCTTGAATATCTTCGCCAACAAAAGAAATATTGTACTGGAACGATTATGAAATCTCGTGTACCAGCGGCAGCACATTTAACTTCAGACAAAATGATGGCCAAGATAGGTAGAGGTAGCTCGGAACAAATTGTAAGGCAAGATGGCGAAATAGTGGTTGTACAGTGGTATGACCTGAAATCTGTACTTTTGGCATCTACTCGTCTAGGAATTCAACCTAGTGATGAGTGTAAACGGTGGTCTAAGAAAGACCCTAAATACATACAAGTTGCAACACCTTACATTGTTGCTAAATACAACGATTGTATGGGAGGAATTGACCTGATAGACCGAATGATCAGCTATTACACGATTCAAGCCAGATCAAAAAAATGGACTGTGAGAGTCATTTTCCATTTCTTTGATTTAGCATTGGCAAACTCATGGATTTTTTATCGAAGAGATAAAAAGATATTTCAAACCTCTACACGAAAAATACAGCAGTATCTAGATTTTAAAATCGAAATTGCCACGTACCTTTTGAAAAATGAATCCAACATTTTCCAAGAAAATATACGAGGTATAGGAACTCGAAGAAATCCTGAGGGTAATATCATTGTTGATTCACCATCAGCAGGCACCGAAAGAAAGCGGAAAGAACATTACCCAGAAATTGCCTCAGATTTAAGAAATTCGGTTCGATGTAAAAATGACAGTTGTACTAAAAAAACTAAGTTTTTTTGTAATAGATGTAACACATTCTTATGCATAACTGGCTACAGAAACTGCTTTATAGAGTTCCATAACAGATAAATTTAAGTTTACGTTTATTTTCTATGTTCTTATAAGTTTAAGTTTTAATTTTAAATGTATTTTTAACCATCTAAATAACTTATACATTAGGCATTTTTGTATAGGTTAAGACCCAATGTCCATTTTAATGGACGTCATGTATCTTTCAAAATAAGAAAAAAAATAAAAAATGTCCTCAGTAAAGAATGTTTGTTAATGTATTTTCTGTTATATTTAAAAACGTCACAACTCTAACTTATGAAAAACATGTCTGGGTCTCAGGAGGATATAATTACAATTTTCTGTTGTCACTTCCTTCTGATGCCACATAGCACTGTAGATGGCTCTTCCACTCCTCGTAGCAGTGCTGGCACTCCTATACAGGAATAGCCTTTAGCTGGTTGGTTACTACCGTTTAAACTTTTTGACTGTCCCAAAATGTCACCCTTGAGGTGATTTTTCAACTTCGGCCAGCAAAAAGTCACAAGGACTCAAGTCAGGTGAGTAAGGAGGCTGAGGAGCCGCAGGAATGATTTTACTGGCCAAAAACTCTTTTATTGACATTACTGTGTGTCCAGGAGCGTTATCGGGATGCAACACCCAGTTGTTCTTTATCTGCTGAACGATGCAGTGAGTCAAATTTAACTCCTCTCCGATCATTCTGATTGTCAACCGACGATCTGAAAATACAGGATCGCGGATCCGGTCGATATTTTCGTGGGTCATGAAGAAGAAGGCCTTCCGGTTCAGGGTTCATATTCAATCGACTCTCTACCTACTCTTTAGCAAGAGTTTCTGTTGCACTGTGCCCAAGTCTGAAGCAAAACGTGATCACACCGTTGCTCGAAATTGATCATTTTAGAACACAATAGGAAAACCTGTTTCCCAAAGAAATTGCTACTGACAACCAAAAGACTCGAGCGGGTTCAAACTTGTACTGAAGACGGACCGGATGTTCCCCTGTCTTCACTCCAATCCCAGCACCTCCAGTGTTGCCAGATCGAACGCCACGTTGCCAGTCTCAAGTGATTTACAGATTTCGTATGTTTTAATTTCTGTTTATTGTACGACGTTTCGACCTCCCCGGTGGCCTTGATTACAGTGACATTGTGGTCAAAACGTTATACAATAAGATTAAAATCAAGAAGATATTTCGATTTTCGTCACCCGTTGTCATCAAGAAAGGATGTGAGGTAATTTAGGGCGCTGGTTCCGAATACGGCATTGAAAAGATGCTAGTCTTGCAAGGTCCTTCCTTAGAGGAGAAAAATGGGATATGCTTACATTAGGATTTTTGAATGGTCATTTCCAAAATTAGCATCCGAGTGCACAGAATTTCGGTATTCTGTAGCTACGAATGTTTACATTCTGAAATAAAATATTTTCCATATGTGCAATTTCATTCAAACACCGTTTCTTGCGAAGGGATTAAAAACTAGTTACAAACATGCATAATGGAGAGATTAAATGGATCAAGTCGATCGATTTTAAAAAACTAATTATTTCTTGGCGTATGTGAAAATTACTTTAAAATATAGATAGGCCAAGCATTAGAGACATGATTTTTCGTGATGAGCATGTCACGTAACATCCAAAAGAATATATATCTCATGTCCAGAATTACTTGCGATAAGTAAAGGCTCTAGTTCAATCTTAAGCATTTTCTCCCTATTGTAACGAGTTTCTTTGTGACGATGGGCAACGAAAATCGAGATTTTACCTTTTACCTATAAAAACCTTTAAAAAATCTTGCGTACCAACGAATCTACTTGCATCCAAAACCCGTTTCTTGGATGGTGCACAGATCACAAACCTTAGCTGTCTAATATCGACAGGGAGACCTAGAAGTTCAAATACGGCTTTGCAACTTTTTCGCATTCTCTGATAGCCATATCCAAAATTAGCGTCCAAAATTACCCCGGGGTACGAGATTCGTCCGCTAGTAGCAACGGATGACGACAATGTACATTTTGCACCCTGGGTTTTTCAGACGGCTAAAAATTCAATAAATTGATCTGGACCTCCAAATACCGATAGTCCTTCACTTTAATTCCTTTCTTTTGAATAAAATAAAGTAAAAACCTGATGCAAGAGGGTTATAGGTCTAAGCTACCTTTCATACCACTTGATATCACAGAAGCTCGATACATCAATATAGAATTTTTACAATAACCGTTATAATACCTAATAAAAGGCCTTTATTTACCTAGGCGGGTATTCAGCTTTATAGCTGCTTTTCAGTACCAACCAAAGCAAAAGAATGTATAAAATACCAAAAGTACAGTTTTCTCAGATAAACAGGTCAGTGCAAATCAGGTACAAAAATTTTTAAATACATCACAGTAAGTTAGATTAAACGATCATGTACAATCACTGAAAATGAAGTGTTTAATTTTAAAGCAGGTTATTATACTGTGAAGGTGCCACATTGGAGGAAGATTTCTTCAAAAAGGCTGTTCTGTATGACGGCGTGTTTAGTGCACATCCAACAAAGCGCAAACTTAAGTCGTGATACTGGGTTCAAAAAGACAATTTGTTAAACAAAAAAAACTGGGATTTTATTATGGAGGATTGTATGGAAGGAAGAAAGGAGGTGTACTACCCATAGCTGATGCGTTGTAAGCCATTTATAACCTTAAGATGCCTGCAAATTCTTGCTTTTCTCGAGATTCCTGAAATATAGGGTACCCAGTTGCTTTGGACATTTTGCAATCGAAAAGCCTCCTGTTGAGTTAGAGCCGTTTTACACAGAAGAGAATTACTCCGAAAATTATGGTCATAATTATGCCTAAAATTTTTGCTGTCGTATTACACGTAAAGGAATTCTTATGAAAATTTTCATGGTAAAAATATAAAACCCATTCTATAGAATATGCGCGAGAATCGGCGCAGAGGGTTATTTCCGTGCATGTCATTATCAAATGTCAACGTCAACAACATAACCTCACTTAACATTTGTGGGTGTGGTGTGTGGTCCTGTTCGAGTCGTACGAAGAAGCGTTCATTGTTATTGTTTATTCATAATGTCGTGGAATCGGGAAGAAGTTATGGTATATCTGAAGTCACTTGAAATAGCATAAAACCCTTTGGTCGGCGCGTCCTTTGTAATTTCATGACGTATCATAGGCGTGCGGTGATTTATTTAGAACGATAATAATAATGTTTTTATATCACAATAAATGGATTTTACTATCTTCTTATTTTTTTGATTTGCGATAAAAAATACTTATATTGGGAGTTTAATTTATGTTGACTGAAAGTTAAGAAATGGAAAAATTACAGAATTCCAACGTTTCACATAGGCAAATATTTACATAGCAGGTAGGTATATAAAAAGGTATATAAAGACTTACATTATAGGTATTTATATATCATCCTCGCCTTCGGAGCTGTCGCTATAGTCATCTTGTAGAGGAATTACAACGGGATTTACAGGAGGCAAAACACAATATTCATTTTCTTTTTCAATAATATGCCTAGAACACTGCTTCCATAGGTCTGTGGCAGCAATATGAGATACTGCATCTCTTATTGTGGCCAATAGCGATTCACTTAATTGAGGGGTCTGATTATGTTTTCTTACTTTTTTTTTAAAGCAGCCCAGACCAACTCAATCGGGTTAAAAATGCAGTAATAGGTAGGTAGACGTAATACTTCGTGGCCATTTTGCTGAAGCAGATTGTCAACAACATACTCTTTTTCAAATTTTTGTCTTTTAATAAGATCCAATAATATGGCTTTGGTTGATTTTTGTGGTATTTCCATTCCCTTATCCTTCATAAAATCAATAATGTCTTGTTTTCTTGTGCCTGTATTCGGAATTTTGTTTTTCTGTCGGGAATGGTATGGCGCATTGTCCATAATAATCACTGAATTTGGGGAAATGTTTGGTATTAACTGCTGCTCTATCCACTTTTCAAATAAGTCGGAGGTCATGTCCTCATGATAGTCGGCACACGATTCTTTGACATTTTTGACAGATAACAGCAAGGCATTAGGTATAAATCCATTTTCACTGCCAGCATGGAGAATAATGATTCGTTTTCCAGTGAGTCTAAGCATTTGTAATTATAAAAATCTTCAGGATAATCTTTTAATTTATCCCGTATCGTTTCCAACGTGGGCACCAAATTTTCTTTATAAAATCCGTATATTATACGACGAATATCTTCCTGAAAACCCACGTCTATTCTTTTTAATTTTTGCCCTATGCGCTTTCTGTGGAAGGAATGGTTGACTACATCTCCCCTTTTTATAACCCGATAAATGGTAGACCGACTGATTTTTGTCAGGATACAAATTCTGTTTAAAATTTGATTTTGCGAGGAATCTGGATTTTCGTTTTTCAAACAATCATACATATTTAGGATTACTCTTTGGGTCTGTTCCTCTAAATCTTTATGAAAGAATTCTGCCTGCACAGGTTCATCAACCATCTCGTGGCTTGGAGCATTTTCCCAAGGTCTCCAAAGAGCCATATTTAGGACACACAAGAACAATCAACACAACAATTAAATCAACAAGTAAACTGAGTATTCAAAAATCAAAAACACACAAACTAATAAAATCTATGAAAAAACACGGACAGACTAAAGAAAACACGTTTATTCACGGCACTGGCTAAACTGTTTCAATTTTCAGTAGCCACCTGCACTTGTTCGGAGCTCTGAAATACACGCTTTTTCATTGGCTATGTCCACGCATAGGCGTGCTTTACTCCACGTGGACCGGTGAAACTGCCTTTGATCTTAGGTTTGCTGCGAAATTTGGCGATTTTTGCAGCAACAGAGCGTGTTAAATATAGATATATAAAACGCACCCGGTATTTCACAGTGTTTCAAGTGACTTCAGATAAAGTATACACTGTTGTTGGACGAGTACCAAAAATGGCCAAACTTGTTCAAGGTGAAGTCACCCAATTACAAAAACAGCATTGATAAATTTTATATTAACCCAGATCTCGATTTCAAAAATAAATTTAAATCAACGACGTCTGTTGTCTTTCCGATTATATTTAATGTCATACCCGTTAAGGTTATGTCCATTCGAAAGTATTACTCTAATGCGCAGGCGTATTATATGAATTACTCGGTAATTTTGTTGGCTTGTGTCATACAGGTTGTAGAGGAAATCTTCAATATTTTTTCCATGCAAATTTTCGGCATAATTATGACCATAATTTTCCGAGTAATTCTCTTGTGTGTAAAACGGATCTTAGACAGGAATCGATAACATAACCCAGCTTGCTTGGTATTAGCTTTATTTTAGAAACTTTAGGCAAAGTATTTTTAAATGTATAAATAGATTTCAGCTTCGCATATACGCTTTGAACAGCCCTGGAAACATGGCCATGAAAGATAAGGTGTTCATCAGGTGTTACACCAAGGTAACGCTAAAAGCACACGATAATTGTTTGCCTTCAATATAAAGTTTCACATTGCTACTTTGAAAATTGCTATTTTTAGACTTAAAAGTTATGCAAACTGATTTTTTGGGTTGACCTACAGTCCGTCGTTTTTAAACCAAGAACATTGAGATCGGTAGACTTTTTTTTTGATGCTGGTTGAACCTGATGATAAATATAAGAGGGTGTCATCTGAATAAGTGCGGATCTCACAATATTTGATCACCCTATCTAAATCTGAAACATACAGTGTATACAAAGTATCGCCGAAAGCATGATGCAGCGAGCACAGTTTGCGCAGCGTGGGTGATTCTGATTGAATATAATACGTTTATAACCGGCATGTGGTCGTTAAATGTTTCAATTGTAAAATGAGACATTCCACTGGCAGAATGGTTAGACAGAACGATTTATATGCACCTTGTGCACGGATTGCACCATTGTGTCTTATAACTTTATGACACGGACTGGATTAAACAGGTTCTCAGAAGAATATACAATGTTATGGTATGACCCAGTGGCATATAATGATAAACGTCTTTATTAAATAATATATAACGTAACTGTAAGGATGAAGTTTACCAACCACTAAGGTTAAATATATTATTGTTATCAGTTAACATACAGTTAGCACACACACACAATAATGTACCAAATCACTTGAAACTATGAGGAGAGAAAAATTAAAAGTTTTGTGTGCACATACTGCTACTATAAAACAGATTTGTATAAAATATAAATGAAAAGGTTAAACGTTTAAAAAACTCAACATAACATTATAGCGGAAACGTGGTAAGCTCATGGTTTTAAATCTACTCTCCAAATAATTATGTATTTCTGCAACATTATAAAATAATAATGTGCCTTTATTCAACTTTGCATACACAAAATAAAACAAAAGAATAATATCTTGAAAACCGCAAAAGTGCAAAATTGAAAAGGTGGAGTGTTACCCTAGGGGTATTTTTCAACACTACCTTAAGTAAAAAATTGTATCTATATCATGAACATATCTAAGGGAAAACCCAATAATAAAGATAAACATAAGTATCAATGATAGTCATAATAACTATTCTGTAAGGTGTACTTAGTGCCTATGAGAAAGGAACTAACCATAAAAAAATGTAGTGAGTTTCAGCTCATCCATTTAACTACTATAACTTTCTCAATAAAACGTAGAATTGTCTTTTGTTCCTGGTGTAGCTATCAACATCCTATCAGCAAATCGTAATATATTTTTGAAGGTAACAAAAAAGTATTTTGTATCAACAATTAGTAGAACAAGGATGAAAGAGAGACAAGTAGAAAAATAGTGGGCGTAAACAAAGTCGGCATATAGGATCCTTCACACGTCAGACAGATACAAATTCTTTAGCTTTAAGTTCAATAAAGAGAAGTCATAAAAATCATTTGGGAGAAAATTGTATAGTTTGGCTGCGTTATATGAAAAGCTGCGTTTAAAGGTTGATGTTGAGTGAGGTGGTATAACAATTATTCGCCTATTTCCAGTATATAATGTATTGATATTTTCAAACTTTGAAATTCTATCTAAAAGGTATTCCGGCTTTTTGTTCACGAGAACTTTGTGGATTAGTGATACGAAATGCAATTCTCTCAATCTATCTAAACTTATATGGCTTATGTGATCAAACTTTCTTATACCAAAAGAGAATCGCAGACACGAATTTTATACTCGCTGTTATTTTAAACAATCATTTTTTAAAAGAGCCGGGCCATATATGCTGCAATAGTTCGATAGGCGAGAAGTTATAAGGGCATCACATAACTTCATTTTCAAGCTACTATTTAAAACACGACTACAGGTAATGGTATGTTAGTAATGAACGCTCAGAAATCATACGTTTTTGTTTAGAGCCAAACAGCATTGCCTATGATTTATTGGCATTAAGGCTTAGATTATGTCTGCCGTGCTTAGCAGAAACGCCGTATATACAAAAAAATTGAAAAATGAGTTTTTTACATATTCTTGCTTGAATTCATGTTTTCTATATATAGAACTTAGCAAAAATGCCGTTTGAAGCACCTTAACCATAAAACAACATAACTATTTTGCAGTAACTAACAAAAATTTGGTTGCATGCTCATTAAAACTGCCGTATCTAACATTATTTAGCATAAATGCAACATCTTCCGGTCAGATTCTGCGTTTTTGCTAAGTACATGTGAATTGCCGCGTTCCTCCCAAGTACAAGTCGTGTCTTGACTGTTATTAATTATTATGATGATGCATTAAAAACGTGGTCAGTTGTTTGTTTTGGTCCGTGCGGATTGCAGTGTTTTGTTGAGGGTTGTTTTATTATGTCCAAAAGAACGAAACTAATTTTGGATCTAGCCATGGGTGCTACATACCAAGCTCCAGCTGGTATTTCTGAGTTACCTACACAAACCATTCTATTTGACATAAAAACTCAATTTTTATGATTTTTAGATTGCTAAGGATGCTAATCTTACAAAAGCTGGAACTAAACGCAAAAGAAAAAAATCACCGAGAGTTTGTTAAGCAGGAAAAAGAAAAAAGCCGAATTAATAAAAGCGCTGTCGGTCCTTCGTGTAATAAGGAAAAATGTAAAATTAGATGTTCAGTACTTTTTTCTGAGGATCACAGACGTGAAATCCATAACCAGTTTTGGGAACTATCTCATGCAGAAAGAAGATCATTTGTTTTAAGCTCTTGCGAACGTTTGGAAATTAAGCGTCGAACAACAGAAAATAATGCTGAATCACATGTTAGACATAATGTTTTCAAATACACCTTCAAAGACAGCCTGGGGTAAGAAAACATGTGTGTAAACACTTTTATTTGACCATTCTCGGATACAACCCAACGAATGATCGATTCATTTATGAAGTTCTATCAAAAACGCCAAAAGGAATCATAGTACCGTTAGAAGACCAACGAGGGAAAAGTCGTTCAGCAAACTTTATTCAAAAAATGAGTTAGATGCACATATTGAGTCTTATAATCCAGTTAGTTCACATTACAGACGTGCACATGCACCAAATGTTCGATATCTTCCCAGCGATATAACTGTCAGAAGCATGCATGCTGATTTTTTAGAAACATTTCCTAATATTAAGGTGTCGTATAATATATATAGATGTCAGGTTGAAAAGAAAAATATATCTTTTGCTAGACTTGGCAATGAAGAATGTGAAATTGTGTGAGTATGAAGCTTTATGAGCATAATGAAGATAGTCTTCAACCTGGATGTGAAACCTGCACGATTTGGAAATATCACATTGATATGGCTAAAGAGTCACGAGAAAAGTACCGACAACAAGCGCATGATAATGAAAAAAGTAACTCCTATTTTTCTGCTAACTTAAAGAAAGTGATAATGTTGCCAAGATTAGAGACATTTAAAAGGGTCTTATTTATCCAAAGGCTTTCAGTTTATAATGAGAGCTTCGTTCCACTGGGGAAAAAGAGTCTGGCAAAACCTTTTGCAGTACTGTGGCATGAAGGTATAAGCGGAAGAGACCAAGATGATGTTACAAGTGCATTTTATGCATTTTTTAAAAAACAAGGAGACTTAGAAAAAAACACTGTTAGGCTTGATAACTGCTCAAGCTAAAACAAAAATTGGTGCTTATTAAGTTTCCTTGTTTTCATTATAAATTCAAGTGAAATAAGTGCTGAAGAAATTGTCATTAATTATTTTGAACCAGGGCGTACATATATGTCAGCAGACCATTTTTATCATCAAGAGGAGCTGTCCTTAAAGAAACAAGGAAAAACGTATGATTTTCCAGATTTTGTTAATGCTGTATCCCAAACAAATAAGGGAGCAGTAGAAATCAAAAACATGTCTTTTTCAGATTTCTATTCTTTCAAATCTTTCGTTTCACAACAAAAATTAAAGAAACAAATGAATCGAATTTATCTCAAAGACATTGTTCAGATTACCGCTCGCAGAGGGCAATATTATCTTCTTTTCAAAACCTCACATTCGGAATGGGAGCCGAATAATTGTTTAGATTTTCTACAGTTTAAAGCAACCAAGCCCAATGGTATGAAATTGCCGGAGCCGTTACATAAGCCTCGCGGTTTTAATTCAGAAAAAAAGGAAAACATTTTAAAAGTGTTGAATACAATAATGCCTGAAAACAGAAAAGATTTTTGGCGAAATATACCTGCTAGAGCTGATTCCAATTAGTGTTGTTCTTTGGTATTTAGCGCATATCATTATGAATATTTGTATTTTTGTTTTTAGTTTGTAAGAGAATCAAAACAAAAAGTCTGTTTTTAAATATATCGAGAGTATAATTCTATCTGTCACAAATTATTGGAAAGTAATTAGCAGAAACACTTAGCAAAAACGCAGTACCGCAATAATCTCAAGCAACATGTGACTTTCATTATACTTCTTGCTTAAGAGAAATGCAGTATCTGGCTTGAAAATAAAACCAGTCATTTTTTTTTCTACATTTTTGTGAAAATATGTTTTCTCAATTGAATATACTGGGTTATGACAATAGAAGGCAGCGAAAGTATTTGAACTCTCTTACGGCTCTGAAAAAAAGAAAAAACATGTTTTCCTCCATGCTTTATTTTTTGTAGATGCGGTGTTATCGCTAAGCACGGCAGATGTGCAATTGATATATTATAACATATTAAAATCGTCGTTAATCAAAGAGTAGGGGCTCAAAATGTGATCAATCTGAAAACTGAAGTACAATTGTGTATCATCGGCATAGTGGTGTATTTTATACAAGTCTTTACGTAGTTATGAAAGTCTGAAATTAGAAAATAGTAAAGCGCCTAATATGGACCCTTGTGGTACACCCATTGTAAGCATTCTTTTGTCAGAAGATGAAGAGTTTACCGATAAGTATTGGTACCTACTAGTTAAGTAGTCCCTTATTAAATTTACCGCATTATCTGCAAATCCAAAGTATTTCAACTTCATGCACAATATACTATGATCTAGGGTATCAAAGGCTTTACTGAAGTCCAAGAGAATTAAACACATAACATTACCTTTGTCAAATGATTTGTAGAAGTCATCAACTGTACATATGGCAAACTTCGTTGGAACAAAGATGTTGTATGCCTTGGAATTCTGATAAAGTCTCTATCCCTAATCGTTCTATGGTGTATAGTGTTAGGCTTAAAATTAGTTAAAATTTTATGGATAGATGTCGAAACGTGTAACTTGACCAACTGATCAAACTACATGGTCGAACTTTCTCATGCCGAATATGGAGCGAACGCAGCTGTTTTGAATCAATCAGATTCTGTGTCTAGTAGCCTTATCCAAACAGCAAAAATATGGGATACTGCAGTAGTTCAAGGCATAACCAAGGTCTCGTAGAGTTTTCTACTCATTTTGAAATTTAGCAGACATCAGTTTGAATAAATGCTGCGTAGGTTTTTTGCGTCAGATTGTTTACATGCTCAATGAATCTTAACCCAATATTTTAGCACCATTGGTGAGCTAGAGCTTCTTATTGTCGATGTTCACGTTCTAGCTCGAAACGAAGTCGTTTCTCTTGTACTCAGAGCAAGACAACAAAATCTTAGAGTTTTCCAGATTCATGCAGAATATTTGCATAGATTATCAATTCCTACAATACTGGAACTGTACCCTGTATGTCATCTAAACCGAAACATCGGCGAATGATTGAATATCTCAGTTCTGAACTGATCTGGATAAGTCAAACGTATGAACTGAATATGCACCCCCCCCCAAGCATAGCAGTTGGAAATTCGCATGTTTCAAGTTTGGGAATTGGGATGCTTTGTAACGGAAGGGTGCCAACCTTCGATTTTAATATTATTACGGCGATAAATCATTTTTTAGGGTTCTTACTATATCTAGGGTTCTAGGTCCAACAGATACAGAGAGGTACTGTGTCTTACTTTTTCCGCTTTGCGATTAGATATCGCTGTAACTGACAAATTTTACGTATGATTTTTTAAAACTCGTAGGTAGCCCCAAAGTTTAAAACTGTGGTAGTCATTTTTTATGAATCAGCCTTTGACGATTTTCATAGTAAGGTACATGATTATCTTTTAGCAACCTTCTTACAGTATTTTTTTGAATTGCGATGCTTCAAGAATAGTGAATAATACAATGCTGCAAAAGTAAATTTTCACACAGGGCTTACGACATTTTCAGGATTCTTAAGGAGCGAACAACGTTCTTTGCACTCTTTCCATACTACTCGTACAAGTTGAAAACATAAAACTGTGTAACTTTTCTCAGACAAGTATGAAAAAGCTGCAAGTTGTTCACTTTTTCGTATCAATATAATTTGAAATCCGCTTCTCTGAAAGTATGCAGAAAACTCATGAATTGAAGCCAAAATGTATCCCCCGAAACTTAGTCTAATTGGAAATAGATTGTATACATGTTTTTTACGTTATGTTGACTTCGAAAAAGTCGGACATACCACCCCGAAGATTCTTTTTGATGAATAACAATAATAACATAACAATATTTATTTATCAAGCGATCATATAGAACAAGTCAAAAGGTATTCATATTTACGAAACATATACATATACTTATTAAATAAATATAAATAAAAAGTAAATCACGAACGTTACATATAGTAGTTACAAAAAGTTACCCTATATGAATAAATCACAAATTATTAAAAGCTAATACTGGTATTTCGGCGATAATACGTTCATAATACAGACGATATGTACTTTTCAGACAATACAAAGGAAATACAAAACACTGCAATCTAATGAAGTTAAAGTGATCTGTCAATAAGAACACCATTTAGTCGTCTCCTAAAAATGTCAATTGTGGGGGTTCCTGATGCCAGTCGGAAATGCATTCCGAATTCTAGCCCCCAAATTATTTGGTTCCCTGCCACTCAATTTATATTTAACACAAGGAACACGTAACTGTTGTCTTTGCCTAGTGTTAAAACTAACCCCCACGTTCTGGCCACACGGTGGGCTTTCTTCTGGAATCATCTTTTGATATTTCTCAAACAGCTTTGCAGAATATACATAATGTATCGTTGAAAAAAGCTGCTATAGAGTGTAGCAAAAAAAGTTTGGTCAGTTTTCAAAAGCTGCAAAGCTTTTCCGGAATTGGACGACATGGCTTTTCGTGATGTACATGTATACTAAGTGACATATAAATCCGAACACTCAGTTTAAATGGTTTTATTTTAATAAAATTCTGTAAAAGTACTTAATGAAGCATAATAAGTAAATGATAAAAATTTCAAAATGATTGCACTGCTTTAAAGCCCTTTGACCTTTAATAATGTGTGGATGCTGCACCCTGATGTGCTACGCATTCTCCAACGCGCCTAGGCATGCTTCTGATCAGGTGGTGAATGTCCTCCTGTGGTATCTCATTCCAGGCAACCACCAACTCCTCTCGAAGTGCGTCTAGAGTCTGAGGAGGACGTTGCAAATTGAGCAATCTCCTACCCATCATATCCCACACGTGCTCAATTAGGGATAAGTCGGGAGATCTTGGTGGCCATGGTAACAATGTGACATCATTATGTTGAAAGAAGTCTATTGTG